TTTATTTGTCACTCTCAACATTTCAACATCTCTCATCTTATAAAATAATTACTGACATACCTATTTCTTAATTTTTTTTCCGAAACAATATTCACATCAATTAATCTTCCATTATTCCCATTATAACATTTATTTATCATATTTTATCTCAACCGCATAGCAACTAAATTATCTCATCTAAATTCTCCACTTTAGAATAGTGGATATCCTTTAACATTATTTAATAGCACATTCAATTTTTAAACGAAATCTTTAACTTTTAATCTAGGGTACAACCCTTATCCACTCAATCATATACCATATTTTCAATCAATTTTTTTTATATCTTACTTATCTTTTCAAACTCGGACTTTTACTCACACGCAATATTATTTTTCTGTTTTAAAAAAAATCAAACGTTATAACTTCCTTTATCTTATAAATTGTTCACCCACTTACTCATTCTCAAACTTTTCTATTACTCTATATCTTCTCTTGAACATTCAAATCCTTATCTCACATACACATACTTAAACTCATTATATTCCTTTAAAATAATTTTTTTCCTGCTTCAATTTTCATAACTTCTAATAGAGCTTTTAACCTAATTCACAAAGGTTGTCTTTAACCCTGACTTATTATCAATTAACTCCTTGTTTAATCTTTCAAGATCAAACCCTACTGCTTGAGTCTGTCGGACTCTCATATGATTTGATTTTCTAACGGAGAATAAAACTAATTCATATCTAGTTTAAAGTTGAAAACCAAAATCTCTATTTTTCTTTGATAGTACTTAACTCTATAAAGCACTAATTCTCTTAATCATCTGAGATTTTTGTTGTCCAATCCTTTTATTCTTAACTCTCCCTAGAGCTTTAACACGATTAACCATTTCTAGAAATGAGAACAATTTCAAAACCAATAACATTTTTTTTAATTTAAGGCGCAAGCCCTAAACAACCAATCACACGTTCTTTCTTATCCTTCTTAATCAAAATTAACTCAACAATAAATCTGTTTAATTTATTAAACTTATATTCATACACATGCATGTGTAATTTCCTTGTTTCAATCTCATATATTTGAGTTTCATTTATTTTATGAACTGATCATTCATGTACTTATTCATGAACTCTTCTACAAATGATAACCACATCACTTGATATTTTAACATTCTTATGGTAACATTTGTTCACCATACTTCTAACTTATCTATGTAGTAACAAAACTACTCAATTTAACTTCTCCACTTTGGAGAAATGAAAATTTTCTAATATTATATTCCTATCATTTAATCAAATTTCCATAACAATGAAACATTTCTCAAATTCACCCTTGAATTCGGGTGTTCTCAACTCTTTTCAATACATTCATTTTATGAATTATAGAAGTATAAAAGTAAAACACATCATAATATCATTCTTTAATCTTATTCAGGCATTCTCTGAGGCTTTCGCTCTTCTCCCTGCCTGGCCAGGGCAGGTGAATGCTATTACCTTCAGTTTATTGTCTTGTGCTTCACTTTAGAAGCTCTCATTATCATACATATAATATAACAAAACATTTTAATTCTATTAGCAAGACAGTACACTCCTTACCGTATCAGATCAGAAGTTTTCACTATTTTGTTGGCATGTATACCTTATAAAACACTCTAGACTCCGGTTTATGCCGAGAATCGACTAAACCTTAGCTCTGATGCCATTAACTGTAACACCCTAACCCGTACCCGACCCGAATACGAGTCCGTGGTGTCATATTGACTTTTAAAACCTTGACACTTAAAGAAAATCCCCGGGAATTTAAAAAAAAACTTTGTTTAAAACAAAATACTTTAATTTATATAGAAGAGACTACAAAATACAAACTCGATTAGAGTGCTCATAATTAACGACTTATTATATGCCAACACTCTATACACAATAAAATACATACTTTGTCGATTACTTCTGATCTGATCTTCTAGTAGTGATACTGTCGTTGCCACTTCTATTACTGCTCTTCTTGTTTCTTGGTACCTACGTGTAAATCACTTACACGCTAAGTCATAGACTTAGTGAGACAATAAATGAACATGTAACAATAGATTCATAAATATGCATTCTTACCATTTGATCATGACATTTCAATATGCATATATATATATATTTTCATGACATATATATAATCATGTCATGCACACATGAAACTTACCTTCTTGTATCACTTTCACTTTAATTTATCTTTCAATTGTATTGCCCATGTATATTATTGAGAATAGAGGTATGTGAGTACATTGAGGTTGTGCACCAATGCTGTCACCACAGCTCGTATAAATTCCCTCATGGGGCACCGAACATTTGTTCAGTATTCGTCCCGAAGGACTGCTATATATGTCCCGTAGGACCACTACGTCCCGAAGGACTACAATACCCTCGACTCTGGGCATGCCAACTATACCTATAGCTCTCGTATCATATACTATGGGCATTTACGATGAATACTTTTCTCATCACTTTTTCTTTTTTTTCTGTCACATACCACATGTATGTGTAACCATGTATTTCATATCATATCACATGTATCACGTATTGCATATTCATATATCATTTCATATATTCACATAACTTATCTCATTTCACATTGGTCATGTCTCATAGCATATATCACATATGCATATAATCATGTATATCATATCATATATCTTATGTTTTATGCTCTTATGTTTATGCATATCATGTAACATATATAATAACCTATACTCATTTCATGTATTCATGCACATATAAGAATCACAAATTAAATAACATTTTAGGAGTCACTTCTTACCATAGCAACTCCATCACTGGCTCATTGCAAGTCAATGTCCGTTCAATAATATAAGTACAATTAAAATTGCACTCACCTTAGCCTTGTTTTCTTTGATTCGATCCTAATCCTTTGATTATTCCGGAACTTGTTTAGACTCAATATCTACATAAATATAACATTTCAAAACAACTATCAGAAGCCTAAACCTTAAACTTGATGTTAACAACTTAAGCCAGATTAAAGAACCAAATTCCATTTTTCATTTAGGGGGAATCAATACCCCCCAGGGGGAATTGATACCCCCTGGACATTCTGGAAATTTTCGTCCAAGAGGGTGAATCGATTCCCATTCATAGGGTATCGGTTCCCTCTACCCAGAAATTGTATTTTAACCCCGAAAATCATCAATTCTTCACTTAATTCTTCTATTTTAAACCCCTATCATGTCATTAAACTCAACTACCATTACTTAAACCAACTTATATCCATGAAAATCATCTATAACTTCAAAATCCTATCCTTCATATGAAATTCAAGAATCATACTCAAATTTCAATATGTTCTAAATACAATTCTAACACTTCATATTCCTTAATTATCATGATGACAAGTCAAATTTAACTTCAAATTCAACTTATCAACTATTTTCCATGATTTCATATAAAAACTCGTTTTCTTAAATCTCTTATAACTTCTTCATCTTTTGATTATAAGACAACTTAAGCTTTCCTTAAGCTTAGTTATCATCTAATGATCAAAACATAACCTTTAATTTAACAAATAACCAACAAATCATAAAACCCTTACCTTTGCCTAGCTTCCACGGTTGGGAGAAGAAGAAAGGAAGAAGAAAGAGTTTTCAGATAACTCTTTCCCCCATCCCATGTGATTCATTCATATAATTGGGGGCAAAATATATTTCATGCTAAATGACCATTTTGCCCTTTAATTCTTTAGATAATTACTATAAACTTTTAGGAAATATTTTGTGCTTATTTAATTAAATGAACGAACATGAACAGAGGGTTTGTTCGTTTATTTACGTTCGTGAATGTTCGATAATATGTTCATTTATGTTTGTTTACTTTCTTTTGTTTATGTTCGTTAAGTTATGTTTAACCCAATAGCTCTAGAACCATTTAAAATATTAAGGCCCGATAAATTTTAATTTGATACCCACTAATATTTTAAATTTCAATTAATTTTAAATACAAATAAAAAGTCCAAAAAATTAAATACAAATTAACTATAAAGTTGCAACTTATACCGATGAATTTTATGTGATTATTGTTGTTGTGGTTTATGTTCATTTATGTTTGTTTATGTTCATTTCTTGTGTTTATTTATGTTCGTTAATGTTCGTTCGTTTGTGTTCGTTCGTTTGTGTTCGTTTACATCCGTTCATTTATGTTCGTTTATCATTTAAATGAACGAATACGATTAATAATTTTTTTGTTCGTTTATATTCGTATTCATTCATTTGTTCGGTTAAAATTAAACGAATGAACAGAAACATAATCCCGTTTATGTTCGTTCGATTCGTTTACAGGTCTAGAAGCGACTACGTGGGGGAAGAATATTTAGAATAGAATTTAAAGAATTTTTTGTCTAATTGAAATGTTGATCCCTCAATTCTCTAGGGTTTCCGAATATGGCAACACATTTTGCAATATTTTATAATTGACCAAAATTAATATAGGGATTTGAGAAAAAAATCCAAATGTTAGGATTTTTAATTATAGCTAAATTAGAGTGTTACACCAATTTTCACTATATTTATGATTTTTTATATTTATTTATAATTTTAAATTTTTTTATTATGACATACCGTTACCGTCTCCAATTCCTGTACACTATAATTTTAAAAATTACTATTTCTATTTTCGTTTCCGTCCCCACATCCATATCAGTGCAACATATGTTTATCCAATAAAATTTTATAGATTATAAATTAATTATTAACAGACTAATTGTTGCCTATGCTGGAAAAGAGATTATCCCCTGTGACCAACCTCACCCTAGCCAGTTTAGTTTTTTCTTCCATTTCATCATCAATGATTTAACCTTCTTTGACTTTGAATTTTCTAAAGCGAAACCTATATCAAAGAGTGGGCCGAAGAAAAGTATTATGAGGATGGGAACGGCGAATAAAAACTCCGTAGTGGTAGACTAATTTGTTCAAAGCAAAAGGCGAAAGAGAGATATAAATAGTACAGTATTAAAGTCGACAAAAAGCCAAAATGAAATCCGATTTGAAGTCCGTCCCTATGGACATTTACAAGAAGAACAAAACTGAGGAGCCTTGAAACTCATTTATGGTTAGATTTTGAAATCCATTAATCCTGTTATTGTTTTTTCCCCTTTTCTTTAGTTTTGTTAGTTGTTGTTGATGGGCCAATTAGTTTCGGCGGCGAAGCTGAGGAGCCGTCGAGATTGGGACCATCGCCAACGGTCAAAACCGAAATCAACGGCCCTGATCTGTCCGATGCAAGCTGAGGAAGCTGAAGAGCTTGATCGAACTAGCATAGATGGATCCTCCGATTTCATCTCTGATCTTCCCGACGAGTGTCTGGCTTGTATTTTTCAGTCTCTTAGTACCGGTGACCGTAAACGATGCTCTCTCGTTTGCCGGCGGTGGTTGGTCATCGAAGGACAGAGCCGTCACCGGCTCTCTCTCAACGCACAATCAGATCTGCACCCTCTGATTCCTTCTATCTTCTCTCGCTTCGATGCCGTTACGAAACTGGCTCTCAAATGTGACCGTAGATCGGTCAGCATCGGCGATGAAGCGCTTGTTCTAATCTCCGAGCGTTGCCGGAACATGACTCGCCTTAAGCTCCGAGCTTGCCGTGACTTGACCGATGCAGGAATGTCCGCGTTCGCTAAAAACTGCAGGAGTCTAAAGAAACTCTCCTGTGGTTCTTGCACTTTTGGAGCCAAGGGCATGAATGCCGTGCTAGACAACTGTCCAGCTCTCGAGGAACTCTCCGTGAAACGACTTCGTGGCATCACCGACGGCGCTGCAGCTGAGCCGATTGGGCCTGGTGTGGCGGCGGCGGCTTTGAAAACTATTTGCTTAAAAGAGCTTTATAATGGGCAGTGTTTTGGTCCGCTTATTATTGGTGCGAAGAATCTGAGATCTTTAAAACTTTTTAGATGCTCTGGTGATTGGGATAAGCTTTTCCCTCTCATAGTTGAACGGGTCACGGGCTTGGTAGAGATCCATATGGAGCGGATCCAAGTCAGCGATGTCGGTCTTGCGGCCATATCCAACTGTTTAAACCTGGAAATTCTTCACCTTGTTAAGACTCCCGAGTGTTCTAATTTCGGACTAGCAGCTGTTGCAGAGAAATGTAAATTGTTAAGGAAACTTCATGTTGATGGATGGAAAGCAAATCGGATAGGTGATCAAGGATTAATTGTTGTTGCAAAATCTTGCCCCAATTTGCAAGAATTAGTTCTTATTGGTGTTAATCCCACCAAACTGAGTTTGGAAATGCTAGCTTCAGATTGTCTGAATTTGGAACGACTAGCCTTATGTGGTAGTGATACAGTTGGTGATGCTGAGATATCATGTATTGCCATGAAATGTTTAGCTTTAAAGAAGCTTTGTATTAAAAACTGCCCTATTTCAGATTGTGGAATGGAAGCACTTGGTACTGGTTGCCCTAATTTGATTAAAGTGAAGGTGAAGAAATGTAGAGGAGTTACTTCTGAAGGCGCTGATTGTTTAAGAGCAATTAGAGGATCGCTCGCTGTTAATTTGGATATTGGCGAACAATTAGCTGCAAGTGCTAGTGATGTTGGGGCACAAAATCATGGAGTTGAATTTCCTCCTATGGTGGCCGGTCAAATTGGAGCTCCTAGTATTGCTTCGAGCAGCACAGTTCGATCGACCTCGTTTAAGTTTCTAGGGCTTTTGGGTGGGAGGAGTTTCATGGCATGTACTTTGAGGAGGTTAGCAAGTACTAATGGCAGTTCTCGGAGTTAATTTGGACGGATGAAGTGAAATTGCAATGACAAAAAAAGGGTAAAAAGTGAAAGTTCTTGGTCTTGAAATGTTTACATTATTTTTTTGTATTGTGTATTTAATTCAATTCTGTGTGCTGATGATTTCCTTTTGAATTCAATCTTCAATTTCAACTCGATAATTCCAGTTTATCTTCATTTATTTCTGTTGGTTCTAAGTTTCTTTATTTAGCAATTAGCAAGCTGTCTGTGTCTTCATTCTTCATAAATGTAGTTATCCTGTACTGGAATTTAAAGAACAGCATTCTGATGCATTGATTAGATCTCTTTAATGTTTATCTTTCAATTCTTTTGTTGCATATTGATATGGTAAATAAGATACATATGGCTATATCTGTTACTGGATGGCTGGACAGCTTAGTTTTCCAAAGTAACTGTGTTTGATACCTATGTTCGATACATATTTGAACATGGTTATGTGGTATGATCCCCCAAATATACGAAAATAACTTACAATCTGAGAATGCTTGTGTTGGATGTGTACTTGTATCCAGACTTTTTTATGCATCATTGATAGATTTTTATGCGTTATATTCAATATATAATATCTGAGTTTAAATAATTTCAATCTTCTGTTGCTGAATGTTTCAAACATGATCGAAGGTAGAGATCAGGAGCTGGAACTAAGAAACCAGTTAGACTTTTTTGATTTGCGATATGCATACATTTTTATTCTATGGAAGTAGTCGATGATAAAAGATTTGATGGATAGATTTTGTGAATCCTATCAGTATTGCTTTGCTATTATATGTGCCCCTTTATTGTTTATGGTTTATGATGCTTACAAGAGTTTGACATGACTTGTTGATTTGTAAAGTGGCTTAATTGGTTAGACATTGCATCAGGATCATTCATTGAGCAGCTTGTGGATCTTTAACAGATGGGGTCTTGATGCAATGATGATGAGGCATTACGAAGTTTTAGGTCGAATTTCATTCTTCTTTATGTGTCGGTTCGGTCTCGGATTATTCTGTTGAATTCGGTATACTTTTAGGGCCAGGGTGAGCCTTGTCCAACATCTTATGGCTCCTTAAGGTGGGTATGCCTACCACCTAATAATTCCAAACTTTGGGTGGGTTATTTCTTGTTTGAATTTGTGTAATCCATCTTTAAACAAACAAACAAAATTCAGACTTGATGAAGATCGAAGATTTGAGGATGATTTTCAATTGGAGCCTCTTGCCCCTGCCTCTGCCTCGAGTGTTATCCCTTTATTCCCGCCTTCGAAATACAAAATTTTGGAACTCGACTGAAATTGGTGGATGATTATGGATTAATTACTGACTGTTGCTTCTGAAACCAATTGGTACATTACTATTGGCATTACTAAATGTCTGTTAGTGCGCATATTGACATTTGTGGTATTTAATGTTTGGGTGAATGATAGTGATGTATAGAATAGGGCAAGCTGAATTGATAATGGAGATTGTCTCCTACGAGACATCTCCACAATCTTTTGTCCACGTCTAAGGTGTCTCAATCCCTGACCTAACCCAGTAATTGCCAACAGCCCATTTGTTCTCGGGTATTCAACCTCAATTACCATTCCATAAACACAATATATGTTACCTAAATTTGATTATAGTGTGTATTTTTTTAAAATTTCATATTTATTTAAATTTAATGGATGAGTGTAATCGATAGCAGAAACTATTTGTTTTTACGTAAAAATCTTTTATTTTTAACTTTTAATTTGATTATCAATTTACACTAATCAAATAGTCTTAAATAAGTGTAATTGTGCGATTAGATCTTATCTAAAAAATATATTAAGAATATATGAGTGGAAACCGACTGCAAGGTGGAATTGGATATCCTTAATCGATCTGCAATGTTTTGTAATCTCATGGTTTCAAAGGGGATAGTTTGGCTCCAAATATTACTCTGCAATGTTTTTTTCGATACAGCATTGACTAGGGCGTATCTAGGTATTTTTGTTTGGCCCAATACCCAAGCGGGTCAATTATTTAGGGTATTGGGCTTATCTAGAGTTTATTTTGGAGAATACGGCAATTTCTGTAGTGCACCCGTACTTGTCACCTCGAAGTGATGGGTTTTATTGGATATTATTTTTAATCGGTCCCCGCATAATGGGCTCGACGTGAGCCATTATTTTATTGGTATTATAATGACTCGTCACGCCGAGGTGAGGAGTTCAATTAAAAATAATTTTTTATTTTTAAATTATTTAAATTTAAAATAAAATTGAAATTTTTTAAAAATTATGTGGAACTCGTCACGTCGATGTGACGAGTTCGTTCAAATTAAAAAAACTAATAGTTTTCTAGCTGTTGGTCAACAGGTAACAACAGTTGAAATTTCTAATCGTTTTATAGCTGTTGAGGGTAAGGCTATAAATAGGGGTTTGGGGTTTTGATTTTTTACCAACCCTGAATCCAAAAAAAAAACATGCGCAGTGCGAAAATCCCTAAAAAATGACAACCCGAGAATATAAATTATGCTTGGATAATGTTCATGTTTCGTCGATCCAATGCGGGCCGAACGAAGATGAATGGAATATTTGTAAGCGCGAGATGACAACCAGAGAGCCGCATCAGCGGATGATAACATATCTGCATTAGTCCAATTTATTTCCAGCCATGTTTTATGTGGCTTCAAGCTGTACCTGGCGTTGATTGAGGCTTTGATCGAATGTTGGCAGCCCGAGATGCACACATTCCATTTCCCGAGTGGTGAAGCGACGATTACTTTGGAATACGTCGCTTACCAACTCGTTGTTCTTGTGAATAGAGCCCCCGTGGTGAGGCAAACATTTACAATCTCACGACGTAGGTCTACCAAATGTTAGGAAAATGACCACCATCCGACGTCACCAGAGGCTATCAGGTAATGATAGTATGGTTGGAGTTTGAATTCGAAGTCACGACGAGTCTACCGAGGCGGAGGTTGTTTTCATATCCTGAGCATTTCTTCTCCAACTCATCGGAGGGATATTATTACCGGATAAATCTGGTAATCTGGCGTACACTCAGTATCTGCAATATTTGGAAGACTTCGTTGTGTGCCATAATACCAGTTGGGGCTCGACATTCTAGCCTTTCTGTATCGGATCGAAAAGTCGGTGTACCAGGTTGTCTGATATTATACAGTCTTTGGCTTGGTATCGCTTCTCGTTTTTTAAGTTAATTACACCAACCCCGGTCGAGTTTCCGTTGGCTGCAAGGTAATTGTTTAACTTCATTTATTTAACCTTTTTTTAATTTCATAAATTTTTTATTTTTTATTTGGTTATAATATTTTTTTAATTTTAAATATTTTAGATGGCGTTATAAAATATCAGAGACGAAGTTGGCAAGTGCCACTGCACGAGACATACGGGTGAGGATTGACATCTCGGTCGATATGCGTTATGAAATACGAAATTATTTTTATTTTTTTGAAACTTTTTTACTTTATATATATGCGACAGTTTGCGTTGCACCACCGATTCCTACGTAGATGGTTGACATGGATGCGCTCCATAGAATCGATACACGTGAGAAACTGACAACTGTCGTTTTGATGTCAAAATAAATTCCTTCTTCTCAATTAATAAATAAAGAAAATACGTAGTAAAGAGAAATAATGGTCAATCCAAAGGACTTAGAAAATTCCTAAATTTCGGTTTGAATTGCCTTGACCAGGCGTTATGCAATATATAAAAAAGGATTTTGGTAAAAATGATTAAATAATAAAAAGTGATTTAAAGTAAAAATAAAAATAAATAAAGAATGTAAAGTTGAAAAATGAATATGGTGAAAAACAACCTTAAGCCTTGCTTTGACTCAATTTCCTTCGGATCATCGAATTAGACTTTCCCTTTGGGATTCTCGTCGGTTACTTTGTCTACAAGGGCAATCCTCGTGACTCTTCTTTGTATACTGATACCCAAGACAATATTTGATTCCGACTTTGGAAATTAATCTGATCAATATCAATTGTCATAGATCAACAACCGTTTAAGTTCATGAAGACCGACTCGGATTATTATTTTTGTAACATCCCAAACTATGGATTAGTGACTAAATTGTAAAATTTCAGAATTTGGTGATTAAAGTGGAAAAGTTGAAAAGTTCAATGATTTATTTGAAAGTATTTCCTGAAGGGTTTTTAGTAATTATTAAAATAATTAAAGGGTAAAATGGTCATTTGAAAATGATATATAGGCATGTGGGGATAAGGATGAGGAGATATTTTCTCCACTTCATCATCATTCTTCTTCATACGAGAGAAAGGAGCTAAGCTTGCAAAGATATTGAGCCTAAACAAGTTCCGGAACAATCAAAGAGTTAGGATCGAATCAAAGCAAGGCTAAGGTGAGTGCAATTTAAATTGTACTTATCTTATTGAATAAACATTGGCTTGCGATGAGCCAGTGATGGAGTTACTATGGTAAGAAGTAATTCCTAAAATATTACTTCATTGATGATCGTGTGATGATTTGTGTGATTATGGAAGATGTGTTATAAGACAATGATTTAAGTGACTACATGGAAATGTTACATGAACCATATGATATATGCTATGAAAAATGATCTGTGACTAAGTGTGAAATGTATGTATGTTTGATTATATGAGTTGATATGTTCTGGTATATGTGATATGTGACATTGATATAAGTAATTATAGGAATATGTAACATGAGTGATTATGTAAAACTGTGAGATAAGTTATATGACATTGATAAACAACTATATGAAATTATGAACATGAGTACCTATATATGTTTATATGAATACAAGAAGTGTTATATGAATGTGATATGTGAACATAATGACTAATTGACATCATCTATGTGACTATATGAAAGCAAGAACATATGACATGAAATACATGATAATAGGATATGATACTCTGTAAGAGTATTACATGATATGAAATAAAAGGGTTATGAGTTATATGCATATGATCTATATGTTTACATACATGTGGTATGGGACAGAAGAGAAGGAACATGTGATTATGAGAGAAATGACATGAATACAAAAGTGTTATAAATGATAATGCCCATGTTATGTGATATGAGAGCTAGTGGTATAGTTGGCATGCCAAGGGTCGAGGGTTTACCTATGTTCTTCGGGACATATGGACTATTTACCGATGTTCTTCGGGACATATGGACTGTTTACCTATGTTCTTCGAGACAAATGGAATGTTTACCTAGGTTCTTCGAAATCTATGGACTGGTCTTTCGGGACATTTATACGAGTTGTGGTGACATCATAACTGTGCACAA